CTGTATCGATTCCAGACTCGTACAAAACTGACCTAGCTTAGAGCGGACAAGGAAATTTCTGTCATATAACTGAAAATCATCTCATCGAAACGAGGCATAACTATATCATGCAACCGGCACTCAGTGAGCCAGGGAGAGCCTTCCAATGACAGTGTCTTCGATCCGAACTAGGATATTTCCTATTAACAATCAATAATCAAGATCCTATGGTTTCTCTGTACGGTAATGGGTTGTGCGATCATCGTATGAAAATTTGATTGATTCGGGTGGTTTGGTCACCAAGACGTTTTGAAAAAAAATACGGTAGGAAATTAATCCGAGATAATTGCACGAGAAAGTCGTGCTGCATTCTAATTCCCACGGGTAGGGTACAGTTTTGTACAGACAGTGGCTCACGGGAACGCTACCATGTGATAATTACCTGAGCTAGATTTACGACGCACTGCTCGATTGGGCGGGACCAAGGTAAGGCCTCAGTTCGAATAAACCCTTTCTCCTTCGAGAACGTCATTCAGACTGGCGCCTGTGATAGCTTCACCTATCGCTGAAAAGCATGAAAATCAATAAAGAACTAAAGTTCAACATTGTTGAGTATCACTTGGGATATTCTGGATGGCTCTAGGTATCCTGTTGTACTTCATTACTGCCTATAATAACACTTAGCCATCGTTCAATATTGTCCAAAGAATTGGAACTCCCTCGTAAATGATCATCTAAACAAATACGTGTACCATTATTAGAGTTGATAATCATATATTACTCGAAATTAGGGTTCTGTTGTCAGACACTTGGACTTATCGTAAAGAATCCCTGAAGTTTGATCATTTTTTTCTCCAGGTATCGTATCTCTTCATGTAACGAAAAACAACAAATGAAGCCGTCTATCCCCTGTTAAATAGCACAATGTTCGTCTGCGATGCTAATTTTAAACACCATTGATGGCTTATCAAAACATTCTGGCTGAATAATCAATAAAACCGAATTAAGTTTACTACTTTTTGATCCAGGAACAGTTCAATCATTTGGATCTTTCAGCTATCCTTGCTGTGGCTGTTCCCAGAGGTAATAACCTGATCAAGTTGAGGTGTACTACGCTAAACACCCTCTTCAGACTGTGGTTATATTTGGTTTGAAATTCAAACGAAGTGATGACAAACTTTTGTTTTCTCTTTCTCCCACCCCCACTCCACCCCTTACAGAATTATTTAAAAATTAGATCACGGAACTGAACAGCAATGACAACAGGAGGTTAAAACACGTAGGATAGTTCGCCGTGGCAAAATTTCTATTTAGATACATTTACTCAAACGCTTTTTATTGAACATTATTCAGCCGCATTACCCTATGATTGGGTAAACAATACCGAATACAACAATTGTTTGAGTTATAAAACTTGGACCGAAATACAGAGATTTGACCTGATATGTGGCAATTCGTCTAAATACACGCTCGCTTTCTCACTCAAATCGATTGACGTGTCAACCATCAACGAACTCACGACGAGGACAGGGACTTGGATTATGGTGGAGCATTGGCAATGGTAGTCTAGTATTTACTTACTTTATTTGTTTAGGTTGTTTCAGAGGTGCTTGAACGCACGGAAGGACGGCGCAGCAGCGTTCTGCTTCGATTCCTTCAGCTGTACAATCGATTACGAGTAAGAGAATGCATCCGATCAAAGGTTTCCTGGGTACACACATGATATTTGGACATCTGAGTGAAGATGAGCAAATGCTTCTTTGTTTCATCCATACTTTCTGAATGGAGTCAGATTTTAAACTACATTATGTATATAAAAATAACCCGTACACTCGTGTTCGGGAGTATATTCAAAAGGGATCATGGTAACCCATTTTAGTTTGTCCTGCAAATGATGTTGAAAACAATAAAACAACAACAACAACAAAATTATAGACAACACAACACCACGTCAGTCGACAGAAAGCAGTTTGTGTTATCTAAGCTCACGATGATCGTAGAATTAACGAGTGCATCAAACTGATAGCTGTCAACCGATGGCGATCTCCTTCTTGTTGGTCAATACAGAGCAGTTCATCACTCTCATGGGGTACTGGGAACCCGTCACTGAATCACTGAATCACCACATTTTCCCACAGTTGCAAACAGGTCCGGGACATAAATTCAACAATCGTGCTGTTTTACCTTCCGTTTTCAAAGAATTAATACATATTCCTAGTTATGCCATTACATATCATATAGTGGCAAAATGGTTACAAAATGACAGTCATTCGCTCAATTAAAGGCCAGTAATTGGAGTGGGAGGGAATGGTATGTGTGTGTGTGTCAATACACCAACTTCTATAGTTTTGTTCCTGTAAAGTAAAAATGTAATCTAGTTCAACGTCTAGTCTTCAGAGCCCACAAGATTGGTTCAGTAGATACACTGGATGAAGAACCACGCTTCATCCGCCAAACGATGCAGGGAAATGGTTATCCGGAAAATCTTTTTGACAAGAATATTCGACCCTCTCCGGAAAAGGATGGCCCCGTTGGTGTCTCCAAAAAATAACTATTCATTGGAATNTCCCATACAGAAAGCCGAGTAAAGTCGTCGAGAACGGCGATAAATCCCACTTGTCCTACAGCGAAGTTTAAAGCGGTGTTCTCTACACCACCGATGATGCGAATGCAAATAAAAGACAAACTACCGAAACTGACCTCATCCATGTTAATTTATTCCTTTAAATGCGTCTGTGCCGCATGTAACATAGGTCGTACGGTAAGGCGTTCGTCTCAACGCCTTAAGGAACACCACCCGCGATGGTTAAGTCAGGGGAACACCGGCTGGATCTCAAGTGCGATCGTAGGTCATCTCGTAGACACCGGACACAAGATCGACCCGGAGAAAGCTTTCGATGTTGTTTATCGCATCCCACTTAATCGATCGAAGGCGGCCTGAGTTTGGACGCTGGCCGTGGCCCAGGCGATCGTCATTCGCTTACTTTGCCCAAATATGTGTGCCCAAAACGAGACTGGTTCAAGCGCACTTCAATTGCCCAATGTGAAAACCAAAACAGAACAGAACATGTTCCTTGACCCTTGACACACACACACACATCCTACCCTCCGACGCCGATTAAGGACCTTAAATTGAACCAATGGCTGTCATTTTGTAAGCATTTTTCCACAATATGATATGTAAGAGCATCACTTGGAATATCCGAAAACAGTTGTTCTCTCACAGACTCATTTTCTCAATGCCATTATGGCAGTATTCAAACTGTTGAAATAATACGTAATTAAGAAAGTTTTGTCTCACTGGTTGACTCACTCGACTTGTTAAGCCATCAGGCACCTCTAGGCGAGCAAAGAAGAGATTATAGAATGGAATACCCTTCTGGTGCATACAGCAGAATGACGGTTGCATTTGGAGAGACAAACACCGCGAGATGTTAAAATTTATAATCCCCTCGGAAGCACTAACGTAAAACAATCCAGTACTTTTTCAGTAAAGTTTTGATAACTACAGTGGTTCAACAGATGACAGTCAGGCGAAGGGTCGAATCAGTTCCACCGCACTTTGGCTGATTGCGTCAGGAACGTTGGAACACAGAAAATAGGTTTGCGTAGGTTGTTACATGCTACATTGTTGAGCTCGAGGAGATTGGAAGAAACGTAAACATTTTGCACTATTTGTCTGCTCTCTGTTCTATGGAATTGGTTAAAGACGACCCGATTTTTCCAGTTGCATTCGAGTTTCAATTTCAGTACATGTTCTCGCAGATATGCTTAGTCTAACGGCAAGCTGGGTGCATGGGACTCAACTATCCCTTTTAAGTTATCGTATCACTTTAAAAACGAAGTGCGATAGATTGTGATTACTCGTTCACTTGGTCGATTTCNGTCGATTTCCTTTGTCTATTCCGTTCATTCGGTCGATAACGCGCGCTGAATATAACGATTTCCTTGCTCAGTCCTTGTGCATTTTTCAAAATATCCTCCGCTCAGATGTCCGTTGCTCCTGGTAGCTGAAAGCGTTTGATTTGGTAGAACCGAGCAACAGACTATTGTGCGCTGCCTATCCTCTATGAGTTCACCACATTTTTTCTTCAGATTTGAGTGTATGCTTAATTATATATCCAAAAATGGGAGGAGAACATGATTTGGAACTCTCAAACTACCTGGGTCGCTCGTATACAGTAAAGTGATTACCTCGGTTATCTTGACAACGCGATTTCGAACATCACGATCAGCTGATGGCTTTAGCACTCGTTAAGACACTCATGATTCAGACCCTGTTATATGCGACCTTAATCGACTAAGCTTCTTACAAATGTGTTCACGTCGAATCTTAGAACATCGCCACGAGCTTCCAAGACCCACAGCAGTCTGCTTCATTCATTTTTGTGCGCAATTTGATTTTACAGATTGTGAATCCTTCTCGAACATATTTCTGGTCAGTAGTGTCCCAGTTAAACTTGTCAACGTCGTGAGATCCCACTATTCCAACATTAGTGCCCGGAATTCGCACCTACGGCGAGAGTCATGCTGATGATATAGTCATCCTTGGTGAGCCCATATCCGGTCTCCAAAACATCGTCCACGGCATCAGTCAACAAGCCCCAAAAGTTTCCTCTGCGGCAATCTGCCCTGTCTTGCTATTCGACTGTGAAACCTGACCACTTGGAGTAGAAGACTGTCGACAATTATAAGTCTTTGACTATTGGTGCCTAAGAATCATTCTGAGAGTACGATGAACGGATCAGGTCCTAAATGAGGCGGTCAGAAAACGGTGTTTAAATCTTGTACGGCTGCAGACACTAATGCGATGGCGGCGACTACAATGGATTGATCCCATAATTCCTAGGTCTGATAACGACCTGACCAAAGCTGCCTTGGCACCTCCTCCCTGCCGGAACTGGCACTGTCTATACGGTGAGAAGCTGAAAACATGGCTAGATCCGATGCGCAAGGACACTGAAAACCTTAGTCTGCCAATGGAAGTCAAGCTGGATCACAACCTGCCCTGATTTTGCCACAAACCGCCGAGCGTGGGCAGTGGCAATTCGGGATATCCATGAAGCCGACTTATCCTCTCCTAGGAGCCACAAACATTATCAAATGTGACAATGCGATATTTTTTGATAGGAATGATTCAAGAATTATCCTAAATTATTGCCATAAACCGTTGCCATTTAGGTTATTTGTTATGAAGCATTAACTTAAGAAATATATAATCGATTATAGCAACTCTGTTGGATAAATTATTTTACAACCTAGAGTCATTACATTAAATAAGGTTTCATGGTAATAATAATCCATGTTTGATGTCTAACTCACTGAATTCAAGAAATACCAAGTGAAAGAGTTTCTCGCCCGTCGGGATTACTCATCTAGATAGGAATAAAACATGGTCAGCCGTGTCGGCGGACATCAGTCCAAGGCACCATGAATAGCGGAGGATTTGCATCACTAATTATGAAAATGTTTCCAGAATCTGATGAAAAAAAATAGTCTGGAAAAGTTATCACTTTTCAGGATGACGCTCCGTGTGAAGTTTCACGAGAGGTTAGTACATTTGTATAGTTAAGGAATCTGGTTCCCTTATTATTTGCTTTTACACTTCAGAAAAGATACGTGACTCTGATGTCCTGTTCATGCAACCCTCCTCTAATAGCCCGGATCTCAATGTGATTGAAAATCTGTTTCCTGTTTTGAAGAGAGAGATCAATGTGCTATCTATGCATTGGGCGTGGTGGTAAAAGCGCGCTACGTAATGAAGAACAAAATAGAAAATGACTTCATAACGAAATTGGTGGATTTGATACCGAAGAGACTCGAAAATGTCCTAAAGAACACTGGTAGACCAATCGACTATTAGTGTACACAAAACTCACATAATACTTATTATCAATGTTGATTTGTTGTTAATAAGAACTGTTCCATTCTGTTTAGTTACCTCCTAACTCATCATGGTCTTGGTCAAACACTACTGACGAAATGGGTGTATCTGGTACATTCCGAACCATTCCACCTGCTGAGTATAAACGAATCAGAAAACTGACGTCTCTAAAGACTCACAAATTCCTGATTATTATTAATTTTGAAAACTTTACTTCAGTATAAATGCTGTTGCCCATACGAACCGAGAAGTGTTTCACAGGGACTCGTTGTTTCAGTTTCCATAAGACCTGTACTTTTAATGTGAAAGTCTTGTTTGATAATATTTTTATTTCCATTTCTATTTGTCTAACTTTTGCACGCTAGGATATGCTTACATTTCAGTTAAAAATTGTACACTAAGGAAAACATAAAATATAGACAAATCCAATGGAGTGCTATGTAAAGAGAAAATAAATCAGCAGTTTGATTTGTTCAAGTAAAGATCGACGTGATTCATTTATAACTCGTTTTTTGTGGATCAAGATGCGAGCCAGCTGTGGTACAGGGGAGGTTTGATCAAAGTTTATTCGAGAGGTTAGATACCGATAAGAGGAACGAGTGATCCAGTGGGAGCGACAAGAAGGTAAGTCAAAATGCAAAGGATGGGAGAATTTATTTAGAATCTTATTGGCCAAGGTCACGCAAGGTTTCATATAATCAATAATAAGTTCTGTGATTAATAACTCGATTGAAATCAAAGGTGCATTGCTTATTATCATCAATACCTTCTATGGCCAAAAAGCTGGGACCAAAATTGGGTCCAGCTTAGGACGGATAATTTTATAGCAAACTTAGAGACCGGTCACTCGACACAGTCATCGATAATTTCGATCACTGGCCCAGATAAACGGACTATATTTACTGTGTTCATCCGAGGACAACTGGGACCGGAAGGATATTTATTTGAACTTTCAATATGGCACAGTCAGTAAAACATTTAATAATTAGGAAGCAAGAAAACAACCAATTACCGTTCCTCGACGGTAATTTAACGAGGCATTCGGGTGACTTCATTAGGGCCCTCATTCTAGG